TTAACTTTCGAGAAAAGATATTTGTACATAATAATTGTTTGATGCAACATTTACTTAAGAAAATTTTAGTTGCACAATATTAGCTAACAATATTAGCTGAAAAAATCAATCAAAAGCTGATATTAACTAAAAATGTTTGATCTAAAATAGAAACAAATAATTTAGATTGTAATGCAGCGCAATGATTATATTTTACTGCAATTTTGGATAAATAACTTTTAAACATGCGATATAGATACAAATAAACTTTTGGGTGAAATTTATTAAAGTTTTATTAGTACACATAAAAAATTTAATTTAATTTATTTCTTTATAAAATTAACAAATAAGTATTACAAAACATGATTTTACATAAGAATCAAGGAAAAGAAATAATTAGATAACTTTACATCAATAAGAGGATTGGGCAAATTTTACATAAATACTCACATCGTCAGATGTAATAATAGAACTTTCCATTTTTATATTTTTAATAATATTTTAAAATGTTACAGTTTTTCGTTACAAGCACATTTGTTTTGTTTTTGAAATAATGCGTTTTTGAATTATTTTGAAAGTATAGTAAAAAGAACCGCGTTTTATAATAGGAATCGAGAGTGCTTTTTTCATCTGGAATTTATGACTCAACGGTAAATTCTTTCATAACTCAATTTTTACAAAAATGTGCCCGTTTTGAAGGGAAGTGTTTTTGTATATTTTAGCAACAATATAAATTGTCTTTATTTTTCAAAATAATGCGCGGATGGTGTCATTGTTTGCCATTTATACCAAAAGTAATCATAAAAGTGGTAAATACTCGAGAGTCGCGAAACGTTGAAAATTGCGATTATTGCTCCATTTGGAGCGGGCAAATAATGTCAAAAATATCGCCGCTTTTCCCTGTCCCGGTTTATATCTTTCGAGTGCCTCTTGATAGGACACACCGAACACGAAGGCAATAAAACGTCAGACTTATATAGATCGTTTTGCCGATCGTCCATCGATCGCGCGGTGTACATCGTGTGAGAAATATTCATGTTGGCGTACGTGTATGCGCTGTAAATGATATAAGAAATTCTATGTGTGCGTACGGAAACAATTTTTTTCTGATACGATAGTGGAACGTCGAGTGTGATATATTCGTTCAACAAGTTCGATATTTCCGTTCGAATGACCATACATGTACCGAAATGATGTACATTCCGCAGTAGATTATGTATGGCATAATGTAGCTCGTTTATTCTTTTAGCCATTGTTTCTTTCACAAATATACAACTCGTTTCTGTTTAATAACAATTTAAAAAAACAGCACGATTGTACACTTAATTTACTCGGAAAATTGAAAATTTTCCGCTAATTTAATTGTAGAAATGTACGAGTAACAAAATCTGCGGAAATTCTCAAACTCTTCATATGAATTATAATACATTGATTTTCTATATGGTCGAGGACGGCGTTACATAATATCGGTGAAGCTTTTAAAATGATTGTTTTCTGATAAAAAGTTTATAGATATTATAAAATGTTTTTCCGTCCGTTACAACGATCACGTACATAAAAATAGGAAAAGACGGACTAGTGGAGATTGATATTAAAACTGAGCAGTTATATTATTATTTGCAAACTGTGAATTGCATTGTTATTTTTTACAAAACACAGACGTCAACATTGAAAAAAAAAACAAAGTGTAACAAAAAATAATATGGAAGGATATCTGATGGATTGAGTATCATCGTGTTATTTCTTATCCATCTTTCTTTGGTTTTGATATTCCAACATCATATTCAACATTATATTCTTTCTGCCTGCAGTAGTTGTCTGCTTCCATTTTTCGACGTGCATTTTATTTCCTCGCTATTCAGCTACCTACTGACATCCCTTTACTTTCCGCTTTCTGTCCCATCTGCTCTGATCTCTATTTCCGTCATGCCGCTAAATTCGACGTTTTTCCTTCCTTTCTTCTTAGCGAACCACTGCTGCTAGATTGAAAAAAAATCGACGGATATTAAAAAATAATATTCTTTAGAAAGAGAGAGAGGGAGAGAGAGAATATTCTTTAGCTTGATAATTAATCGAATCAGGTTAAATTCAATTTGTTAAAGATTTCATTGAATGTTCCGTTTTTTAAAAGATGAGCTTAATATTATAGAAAAGAATTTTTTTACTGAAAATATATCGATCCCAAGTAGTCAAAGAAAAATTTGTGGTTGAAAGAACATCTATTAGAACACCTTTTTTAGTCAGGAAACGCATTTGTTCTGCGCTAACGATCAAGAGATCTTTTCGGTTCTTATATTCCATTTTTATCGCTACAATCTTTTCGTGTACTGTTATTACTTTTATCTTATAGCGTGTATTTTATTTCTACTGAGTGCAATTGTCCATTTGATTCAACCGTCCGCCTGTTGCCAGGATAAAATACAATTAAAAGTGAAAACGAATATTTATAAAAAAACAACATACTAAATACGCATGATTAAAAAAATAGAAGCGATCGAATGAATAATAGAGTTCAATTTATTATAACGCACTTTATATTGAAAATGATTAGGAAGAGGAATGCAAAGTATTTTTTAAAATAGTGTGTAGACATACACACGTACGTGCACGCATATATATATATATATATATATAGAGAGAGAGAGAGAGAGAGAGAGAGAGAGAGAGAGAGAGAAGGCACATTTTTCGAAGCTAACGATCATCCTATTAGGCAACGAATTAAACCTCGTTTACTTCCGAGAGAGAGACTCGTTTACAGCCAACTTGATTTTTCCACGCTTTGCCCTTTGAGCGTCAGAATCGACTGAAAGTTTATTTTAGCTTTAACCATTTACCTCCATGTGCTTAATAATCTGTAAATTTAATGTTGAGTAGATTAAAGCAATACAATTAAAAATATATAGACAGAAATGTCGTAAATGTTAAATTAATTATTACGCAATAAATTAAATAAATTTGTATATAAGTTTATACATATTTAAACGAAAAACAAAAAACATTTCTTTTTTGATAATTTCGACGTTTGCAGGTTTTTAGGTGCTTCTTAATTACCTTATGCTTATCTTTAGATAACGTAATTACGTGTGTATAATGTTCCGCGCGATCGAACTATTTATTATTAAGATCTTACACTAAAGTGATGAAAAGTTATTTTACAGATATATCTTTCGTGAAATGCGAATACTTCTCCGATCAAATCGACGACAAATTTTTAATTTGAAACGCTATGGAATATTAACTATTCGTATTAAATTTTTCGGTATTTTCTTTGCAGCTTTGTATTACTGGTCATGTCATTAGAAACGGTAAAGAAACTGTAAAGAAAGGAACCATCCGGATTGTTGTAATCCGCATATAATGACGACGATATCACTACCGTAACGTGGAATGATAATGGAACCTCGAAAACCCATTATCTCACTGTACAAGAAGCCATTACTCGCTGGCTTCCAGCTTCTCGTTGATCTTTTCCACTGTTCTCTTGTGATAATCAGAGATAACTATACGGGATGGCTTAATCATTTATCATGAAAAGAGCATTTTTGAAACCCGAAAGAAGCTTTACCATATCTATATTGCTAACGGCTTCTATAAACCTAAACATTTATTTATCATTGCATTACTCTATAAAATACAAAAATTTTACCACAAAGTGTTTTATGTGTTCATCAAATTATTACTCAAGTAACAAACTGATATTATTCTGATATTAAAATAACGATGTTATTTTAACGTCATGATAATAAATAGCATCAACTTATTATCTGATTAATACTTATAAAGCTTAATGTATTAATCTAAAAGTGACTATTTTGAATGTTAATCATTATTTTTGGTATTTAATAAAATATAACTAACGCTCCAAAGTTTGTTTTTGTAAATACGTTACTAATGTAAATTTGATAGACACAACGTTTTGTGATCAAACTTTCTTGTACTAACAAACCTTGTACTAATGAAAATTTTTAGTAGTTAAACGTTTACGTGATTTTACAGATTTTATCCCAACGTATATACAACAAGACACTTGGCAAATGTTTTCAGCATTTATGCGTTTACGTTGATTGCGCATATCCGTTCTATCTGCTTCGCAATTCCTTGCAGCTTCTCACGTGACAATCGTCACGCGCCGTAACTCGCGAGCAATCCGGAAGTGCGATAGCGCTCACGTTTACCGAGATTCGCTATTCGTGGCACTCGATCTAACTAACGTTGTCTTGTTGTTTCCCAGACGCGGCGGTAACTTCGGAGTACGGCACGCTCCGAAAATCGATTTCTGTCCGCGTGCGACAACGTAAATTAACTTGGCGACAGAACACAAGCGTGCAGGCGGGTTTGTTCCTGCGGACGGGTGAAGTAATGGCCGAGTAACTCTGGGTCGGGTTGTCTAACGTTGGCCGGACGTGCGGTAACACTTGGAACTTACACGAGATAACGTCGGGTGTGCCAGTACGTTCCAGATTCGGTTATTTTGTACGTACAGCAACTGACCCTTATGCTCGCGCAATAGTCTCAAAGTGGCATAAGGGAGGGCGAATAGCACGGTCGTGTACTACACGTAGTGTAGCGTTAATGCGGCGTTACCCTCAGTTTACGGCGGTTTTCTTGGCCATGCTCTGGGGGTGGATTATCGACCGTGACACGGCATTATTATGTCGGCATTAACGGTACGGGGAAAACTCGTAATTTCGAGTTAATCGCTTTCTTCTCTCTCGTCGCGAGAGCGGGAGCTTGGATGGAGAAACGTTAATTACGCAAAGGAAGGAAAAACTTGATTAAACTAATAGCAGCATTACACTCGCGATTTTTCTCCGGATAATTAAAATCAGCGCTTCGAAAATTCATTTCGAGAGTATCCGCTTGAATTATTGCTCGTTAATGCGGACGCAGAGTTGCCAAGTTATACTCGAATCAAGTTTGTTGCCAAGTTGTTAGTACACATCGCTACCATCTTGCTTGCTCAAACAAATTTGCCAAAAAAGCTATTCGTGCTAAAACGCGCATGTCATTTTTTGTTGCAGCGTGCCAGCAAGTTAAGCACGGCGTCCAGGCGGTCTTCGGACCTTCGGATCCGATCCTGGGTCAACATATTCACAGTATCTGCGACGCTCTCGACATTCCACATCTCGAGGCCAGGCTGGACCTGGAGACGGAAGCGAAAGAGTTCAGCATTAATCTTTATCCCGCACAAAGTCTGCTCAACGCCGCTTATCAGGACATTATGGAGTTCCTTAATTGGACCAAGGTGGTGATTATCTACGAGGACGACCATGGTAAGCGATAATAAATTTAACATGTTAACTATTTTCCAGTAATAATAATATTATTGATTCATGCGTTACAAAGACTGTATTCAACAAAGAAAGCAGCTTTGCAATTGTTGTAAAATTCTTTAAATACGATTGATGTTGCACTTAGTTTCTCACTGAATCTAAATGTATAAACCAACCATATTAAAGAATTTTAAAACAGTTGGTTTCTTTGCTGCAGCCAATAATAAAGTGATATAAATGTGTTAATTTGTTCATAACTTTTTATTAGTTCCTTTTCATTGTTTTAAAAAAATATATATTATCTTTAAAACATAGTTAAATGAAATGAAAATTTATCGTTTAATTCCTTTTTTAAAGTTTATTCTTATTATTCTGCTGCTTTTCGTTACAAAAAAAAAGTGGCTGCGTCAGCTCAATGATGCTTTGTAACCTAATATCGTAACTA